TTTACACATCCCGTGCTGAGGCTCCCACAAGCTACTTGAGACAGCAAGGCAACAAAACCTGAGTGACATGAGCAGCTGAAGCTGATCTGGGGCCTGAGATAAAGTTTTGGTCAGGATGAAGTGCAAGCTGTTGTCTAGAAAAAAGCATTCAAGAGTAGTTGGAGAGAGAGGAGGAAGACTGTCAACAAAATGAGGCTGAAGTTTCACAGTGTGTACTTACACTGCTTTTGGACAAAATCTTCCGTAAGGCAAGATGTGCGAAGTAATGAATGTGTATTTGGAACTCAGCTCCACTAACTACTCATAAGATTTGGCAATCTAAAACTCACACAGGAGAAGCCTTCTCATTTGTGCTGGGATTTATAACATGGACAACCTGCCTCCAAATACTGAAAGGCAGATCTTCCTGAAATTGTGTGTACTGCATCTTCAGGCAGGCTAGTATTTTCCAGGACTGTATAGAACAGTTTACTCAATGAGCTTCCATACTGTACCTGATATCATCCCTGAATTTCAAACAAATTGTTCTGTAAATGGCCTGCTTTGTAAACCTCTAAATAAGGCGTTTAGCCTGGGAGCCTACCCTTACATATTGTGGCACAAAGATATAAGTTGAAGCTCTGTAAGACAGAGCTGTAAAATACCAGCAACAAAGACAGGAAAATGTTACAGGCCAAGCTGAGAAGAAAGAGTATCTTGCCTATATATGCCACACAGTCAGAAAAATGGTCTATATATAGTTTAAAAGTAATTTATAAGCAAGATTGTTTTCAACCCAGCTGAAGCACATCTGAATTATTTGTGGCTTGCCATGATGTTTTAAGTAGGCAGAACAATCCCAGTTACAATTCCTCATGCATAGGACAGGATGGAAAAATACCCCCCACTGAGGGCTGCCTCACAGAGTACAGTATTCTACTTCTTTTGTTTTCCCTGATTACTTACAGCTTCAAGAAGCCTGTGCTTAGAGCTAAAATTATAAACGCAAAGAAAAAAGCAACTTACAGGACTGTAAAATTCTAAACAGCTTTTCAATTCACTTCTTGAATGGATTCTAGGTAAGTGATTAACAATGTCACTGGGCATAACATAGAATGGGAGAAGGAGCAAGATATCCTCAAAGGAAAAACATAGAAGGAAGACCATTCTTTATATGCAAAACTAGCCTTGAAAATATTACTTCTCCATCCTACTTATGAATAAACTCCTTCATTATTCCTTTGAAGGGCTCTTAATACCTAGGAGTCTCCAAACAAGGTATGATAATCCACCAATCTCTATCCCGCTAAGCACAGAACAGACAGACATCAGGCTGATCTTTAATGGAGAAGCGATGTAAGACATCGAAGGGAAAGTAGTATGAAATCTTGTCTCACACTACAAAATCTTCTTCAGTGGAGGTTTTTAAGGGAAAAAAAAAAAGCTTTACAAACAAAAAATAATATTAATAAAAAAACACTATCAAATCACCAGAAAAGATGCTGTCAGTTCTCGCTCTACAGCTCAGGTAATCAGACCAAATGGCCCTGAAGACCTTCCCAGGCTGTCATTTTTAATATCAGCTTCATAACAGCTGCAGCCATACACACTTTGAACTGCTTTCACCACCTCTAGATGTTTACAAAGAGAGGTAAACACCAAACCTAAGAAAACAAGGCACTGACATTGAGCACTGTGCCACTCCTATTCAAAGAATCAATCATATGTAAGTTTAAAGAGAAAGCGATCTTCAGGTGGGCAACAGAAGTCACACAAAGTAGCCGACTCATCTGGAGTATTTGGAGAAGCGTGGATTTTGCAGAAACAAACCCCCCCTCGCCAGTGGAGGTTCAGGTTGGAAATGAGGAGACATTTCTTCTCAGAAAGAGCAGTCAGGCATTGGGACGGGTTGCCCAGGGAGGTGGTGGAGTCACCGTCCCTGGGGGTGTTTAAGAAAAGGTTGGATGTGGTGCTTAGGGACATGGTTTAGTGGGTGACATTGGTGGTAGGGGCATGGTTGGGCCAGATGATCTTGGAAGGCTTTTTCCAACCTTAATAGTTCTATTAGTATTTATTTGGGATGTAGCTGTACTCCTTTGAAAGCCATTAAACACACTTTCAAAAGAGGTTGCTTGTGACTACATATTAGAAGTAAACTGGGAATCTTATTTACAATTTCTGACTATAGATCATCTGTGTTGTTTTTTTGTGTGTGTTTATTTTTTTTTAAACCTGAGTGCAATTCCAGCAAACCAAAGTGAATTTTAACTAACTTAGCCCTTTTCTAACCCGAGCTATTGAAGTTCTCAGTTGAAGAGGCAGGAGATGAAAGCCTTTAGCAACCAAAAGACAGAGAACAGTATTAGACACTGCAGTGTTGATTTCATCTTGAAATGCAGAAATGTAATTAATTCCTGAATTAATTCCTTTAAATGATGTTCTTTTTCAGTTGCTTTTTCTCAAGTTACATAGGAGGCTTTAAATGCTTTGATAAATTATGTCTTTTAATCTGGAACTATGTTTAATCACATCTTGTGCTCTACATTTTCAGAAACATCATGAGTCTCCAGCTAACACATGTGAAACTGGCAAACTGTATCAACAATAGCTGTTCACTTCTTTAAAAATATGATTTGTTTTTCTCCAGATCTCCATCAGTACCCATACAGCCTACATTCAGCTGCAAGCAGAAGGAGTTGGAATATTAGAAGAATAACCAAAATGCATCTTACAAATGTGTTTCCAGGAAGTGATATATCTGCATGTAAAATTAGTCAATATAGGTCATTTTAAAAAGCAGGTGAGACATGAGACTTATTCCCTAGCTATAGAATGCTGACAGTTCCTGTAGCACACACTGAAGAACAGCTATTTTCAAACTAAATTATTTGCTTTTAAAGGCTTTTTTTTTTTTAATATGATTGTTCAAAGAACTAGTGATCTCATTAAAGGAATATCTGCAATAGAACTGAGACAGTTGACCTTGGAAAGAGTTTTGTTGTTGACATCCTTGAAGCTAGACTTTCATTCCTGGACTTCATGCAACCAAAATTTTCATTTTTCTGAAATAAATAAGGATTAAGTTGAACTTCATAACAAGAGCAAGAACTCACATAGGTAGAGTTAATTCTTATCTTTATAAGAAATCATTCCCTTCTCTCCTCCAAAAATGAGTTTAACGCAGTTTCCAGGTAAGAGGAGCTCTTCTGGCTGAAATCTCAAAGAATTTCTGCCCACTATGTGGAAAGAACAAAACCACCCCACCCCCAACCTATGCATATACCTATAAAGAGCCAACAGCATTTTTCCCACAGGAATAAGCATTTTGCTTTAGAAGCCCTGACTAAGTTTTCCCAGCAGTTCTGTTAATGATTGTCTGCTTCCTTCATTTAATAAAATGACTTAATTTCTTTAACAGTGCTTGCACGTACCACTAACATTTCAGTTTCTTTGGGGCAGATACATGTATAATTCTGTACACTTTTTTTTTATGTGTGGCTATATTTCTAAGATGAAAACAACTGCACTGAATAAGTGTGCATAGAAGCTTTTCAAATACCACTACTTTGAAAGACTGATTAACTTCTATAGCAGTAAAACTATGAAAGTTTTGTTAAAAAATTGTTTGTTATGTAGTCAAATTCTCTGCAGGAAAAAAAAATAGCTTTTCTGATAGACAAATTCTTAGTAATTGATCTTCTACAAGAGCCAGACTCAATGGATTGAGATGGGAAATGGCAACGCTCAAAACACATGGCCTTTTTTAAGGCTTGACTTCCCGTGCAGTACAGGAAGTCTGACACCTGACACAAGCGAAAGTCATTAGAAGTTACTGTACAGTACAATTTATTATTTTTTTTTTTTTTACGCTCAGACACCAGGAAGTATGCCAGTGTATTTTAACAAAATAAAATGCCGTTATCCACAGCCAAGTAAATACTAACCTTTCTCTAATATATCATCCATGCTAACTCAGCTGATCATAGGCAATAACAGACCTTTCTGGACTGCTTTTTCACTGCGCAGTTGTGAGCAAGAGTTGTGCCCAATTTACTGTTATCTTCCCAAACTCCACTCTGTAAATCCCACACCTCCAAAGTCACATTACCAAGGGGAGAAGGCTCTCCTCACAGCATCAGCAGTAAGGTACCAAGACAAATTCCATTCACAAATATTTTTTGTTTTGCTATAGTCTCAGTCACTTGATGACCCAGAGGACTGGGAACAGAAATAAGTGGATGTGGCCAGTGTTCATCTCAGACTAAGCACTGAGACATTCATTCCAATGTGCTGAGTTCTGTCAGTCCCGTTTACATCTTATAAAACCTCAGAAACACAAAAACAGTGGACAAGGCCCTGAAGCCTTCATGATTTTGTATTGGGGAAAGGCCTTATTATTTTAAGTCTCTCATGGTACAAAACTAAGACAGTACATCTGTGCTTCTTAAACCTGAGTGGAGATTCAGGACCTGAAGCAGTGCTCGTTGCCTTTTCCTTTGCTGAACAGATGCCACGCCAGCTACCTGCATGGGATTCACTCTCTCCTGCTGCCAGCTTATGACCTACAGCTCTTTGCCCTTCCGTTTGCCCACACGGCAGACCCAGCTAAAGACAACACGCTGCTCCCCTCACTCCTCACCCCCACCACGCCGCAGCCACCACTCAACCGAGCTGCCTTTCCCCCAGGACACGACCACACCATAAGACCCAGCACCAAACCCCTGCCACAAACCTTTCTCCTCCGGTGTTTTTAGCAAGCTACCGCCACCCCTCCTCCCCTACACACCCCACTGCCACCCCGGGCAGCCCCCCGGCGCCAGGCCGGCCTCTCCCGCCTGCAGCGTGTGAGGGGAGAGGCGCAGCCAGGCCGGGCGCTCCCACAGCTTCCCCTTTCCCCCGTCAGCAAGCCCGCGGCCGCCATCTCGCCCCTCCTCCCTCCCTGCCTCCCCGCCCGGCAGAGGAGCCCCCCCGGTGCCTGTGAGGCCGCCCGGGCCGCGCCTCGCCTCGCCCCCCTCACCGACCTGTGGAGCCAGCCATCTTGTCCGAGCCCCCCCCCAGCACCCGGCCGGGCCTGCACGCCGCGCGCGCGTCACTTCCGCCTCGCGCACCCCCCCCACCCCTCCCTCCCCTCCTGTCACTTCCCGCGCGGCCCGGAGGGGGGCGGGGCCACGGGGAAGGGGCGGGGCCACGCGGGCTGAGGGGGGATATGTGGGGGGGGGGGGGGGTGTCCTGCAGCAGGTGGAGGGCACAGCGTGACTGACAAGTGTGTGACGTAAATTATTAAATAAATTGTTTTCTACACAGTTTAGGTTTTTAAAGCACAGATCCTGCAGCCAGCCAGCCCCCTTGCTGCAAAGCGCAGCCTCCAGAGTTGGTCCCCAAACCTCCATAATGGTCCCCAAGCTCCAGCCCGTCGCTGGGGGATGGCCTTTTCAGGTGATATTTGGAATAAAATCTTGAGAGAAGATAAATGAGGAATAATTCTTCTCCCTTTCTCAGATTACACTACACCCAGGCATTCGATAACTGTATCATACATCTCTAGTGCAAACATTGTTTTTCACAGAATGAATAATTAACTCGTGTAACTCGGTTAAGCACAATATGATATAGGCTTTTGACCTCTGAGAGTGGCAATAATAATACTAATAAAACACACCGAATTACCTTGTTTTTCTTTGCACATAATATATCTATGAAACTAGTGACTCAAAAAGTCCAGATAGAGCCAGAGGAGTCATTGCTCTGGAATGGACACTGGGCTCTGGAAACTACTTGCACCATCATCTGGTAATTTCCTCCCACAGGTACTGCTTTTGGGAGCTTGGACCCTTATTTTTGTCAGCCCAGTAAATTCTTCACAAGACAGTGTATCTAAAAAGAAGACATTCAATGCTACATGGGATAAGAAAAAGCTCTTTTATTCATATCGCAGTACATTCACAAGCCATAACAGATACCAGCGCTCCTCTATAGGGAGCTGCACATAAATATAATGAGCACTCATTAGTCCAGAGTTTACAGTCAGAAGCCGTAGCTCTGCAAGTGACTGCAGACTGCACCTGCCCCACTGAATTCTCTCATTTCATCTGCACAAACTTGCATCTGATTAGCTGAGAAGAGCAACATTACTCATCCTCTTTAAAAGCAGAGGAAGCATCAAGTATTATGCAGTAATAGGAACACAGAAAACACAGAAGCAATAATTTAAAAAATACATAGATAACCAGTACAGAATCTTATTCTAAGCAAACAGACATTTAAATCATTACCTGACCGTAGAGAGGGCTCCTGAAGGCTACAATGCTCTTCTAAAAAGTGGACTTCATTTTAACTGCAATTACCTGGCAGTCTTACAGTTGCATCTTTTCTCCCCTGTATGTGGCAAATATCGCAAAAATATGCAAATTCACTTTCTATTTCATCCATCCACAGGTTAACTTTCATATCATGTCATAGGAGGATCTCTTGCACATCCATGCAGCACACTACTTCCCCCTTCATTAACTTGAGACCCAATTCATAATTTTTGTTTCCTGATTTCCATTCATTTTAGGATGCATACTTCCAAGATCCCGATTGTACAAATTCTCTGTATTTATAGGAAAGTTTCACTGTTTCTTCATGCTGCCTCAAGCTGGAATTGCAAGCAGTTAAATACCTGAATGAGCTAGTAAGAAAATCAAATCAGAATAAAAAATTATCTCACAACAACTTAAAATGTGTAAGCATAGTTGTACAAAGAAAATTTCCATGGTATTTCACAGATGTGAAGCTTCACAAGCTACAATCTTGTTATGAGAAATAATATATAGAATATTCTAGCCCATTTCTTCTAATAAATAGCTTACACAACAACAACAAAAATTAGTAATCCTCACAGGGCAAATACAGTATGTGTTTCATCATACACTAAACTGCATTACGAAAAATAATAATAATAATAATAAAATTATAAACTACATAATGCAATCATAAACCAAAGTTTTAATTTATTTTTCTCTGTAATTTATTCGTGTTGTTCATTACTGTATTGAAATGTCAATAAGCTTTGTTATTTTATGTAAGGAATATTTTTCCTCCTGTACATAAAAGAAAAAACTTATCATTTGGAAAAGCAAAAATAAAATACTGAAAATATGTGAATCTTTTTAGATTATAATTCAGTCTTTTTTTTTCTACACTTAGTTTTTCTTGTATAATGGTATGAATAGGACATATTTTTAAGTACTGCACAAAGAATAAATACCAAAAACATTCCCTGGAGAATGCGGGCATCGATCCCGCTACCTCTCGCATGCTAAGCGAGCGCTCTACCATTTGAGCTAATTCCCCATCTGAAAAAAAAACTTTGAAACATAGGCTTGTGCACTCCAGACTTGCTGATAACAACACAACCATTCCTGATTACAAATTCACTGTGTCTTGCTGAGTCATTCTTTCTACTCACCAGCAGCTGACAGCAACTCACAGCTGGAATCATGCAGTGTATATTCCAGCATGTATGCTACCAGAATAATCTTAATTAATTTCTGTTATAACACAAGTCTTTGTTATTCAGCTGGTTTCATATAGGATGGTCTCCAAAATATTGACCTATATAAGGAAAAAATAAAAAAAGGTGTTATTATAAAAAACTTGTATTGAATAACTGTTCCAAATTCAACACGAAAACCCAAGTTCTTTCCAATTTTGAAGGTGTACACATGAAAAATATGGTCCAGGAAACGTTTAATAAGTGAAAAATATTACATAGCTGACTGAAATGGTTTTATAATCTAAACGTATACACATATATTTATCTAAGGAAGCACGAATAAATAAGGGAGCAGGCTGGATGGTGGTATTTTGGTAGCGCCCTAAGCGGTCCCTTTTCTAACGGGCCGTACAGCTTACAAACCAGGCGGGGTTGCCCTGCTCCTGCCACCTTCGTTTCCACTCCTCCGGCATCCTCTGTAAGGAAAAGACACGGAACGTAACGATTTAAATGGGAAAAAGGAAAAAATACATATATGTAAATATAAGACCATCTTCTGCTCCGGTGGTCAGGAAGCCGAGAAATTCAGACTTGGGCCGCGAGGCGGCAGCAGGGGCGAGGCGGCCTCCCTCAGGGCCTGGCCCCGCTTCCTCAGCAGCTTGTTCCCCTTCCACACACACCGTCCTCGGTGCCCCCCAGCCTCCCTGCCTTTCTCCTTTTCTCCTGGGCTTTCTCCTTTTCCACTCCCTCCCCCGAGGCCAGCAGGTGACACGAAACCTAAAGCTGGGATGAGGGAGTCAGTCAGGAGACCAAAGCAAGAGGCGCCTTGAGCTTGAGCTCAACCGTGACGTGTTGCTGTTCTGTAACAAATTCCACGTGAATATTATTCATCGACACGGGTTTTAGAGTTTAACCAAACCCAGGCTGCCTTCCACTTTACACTTCCCTGTTGTTTTAACAACAGAAGTCCTCCAAGTATCTCTGAAATATAAGCTTGCTACTGTACCTAAAACGATGCACTCAACAAGAATTGACACTCTGGTTCTCTGCAGGGCGAGAAGAATTCACAATTTTTCCCTAGTTTTACATGGTAGTTACTGTACTTTTGAGCTCTTCTCTGTAGGTAATAGGTATTCCTGCATGTACACCTAAATTATACAGCACATTAGCCACCATAAGGTGACACCCTGTTACTAACAACTTCCATTTTTCCACTTACAGAGGCAAGGAGATCATTCTTGCGCTGCATTAGTGCTACACCAGACAATGAATTTTAGCTAAGTTAAGCCGTGTTTCTCACTCCACAGAATATGACAACAGAGCAGAAGGCATTACTCACCCATCAAGCCGAAGTCTAGCTAAGGGAAAAACAAATCAGATGGTGAATAAATGTAAGATTGCTACCTGACTGGTTTCTAGCTGGCCTGCCTGGTTTTCATGTTGCCTTACTGGCTTTTGATGACAACAAATGGGCTGGCTTATGTACATTAGCACTAACATGACGGATTGCTTGGATTGCAATTCAGTTGTTTCTGGAGCTGGATTCTCAGACAAGTGGCAACACAAAGCTGGAATAATTGAAAGCAACTCGCTCTCTTTATTCTGTACGGCAGTTATTTGCATGGTGCTTGAAAGGCTTTAGTGTTGATCTGCTACAGATTTCATGATTGTGCCAGCCACAAGAAAACGGCATGTGGAACAAAGAATCATGGTATTTGGAAAGGATGTAGTTAGCTGTCAGCTCTCTAATACTATGAACAGTTCTAGTGAGAATAGGAATTAGAAATAAAGCTGTTGTGAAATTGTGAAATTAACTGTTTTTAAATTTAAGCTGTGTTACATGCATTTTTTAAAAATACTAAAACTAGTTCTGACAGAGTTAAATACCATTCTTATTTTTTGTTTTTGTTTTCATTTGTTTGTTGGGGGGGACGGATGGACGGGGGGGCAGGGGTTATGAATGTTTGTGCGTCATTTCTGAATGTTTTTTGGATGTTTTAAGATTAACAATCGCGTTAAATTGATGTATCTGTAGCTCTTGTGAAGTAAAGAGATATCTTTTCAATATAAATAATTCATTTTCCTATGCCAGCTGCTATAACATACAAAGAAGATTCAGCACATTTTCTGCACTCAAAACGCTAGAGGGAAAACAGAATAGCTTTTGCTATCTCAACAACTCCTCTTTCTTATGAACGTTAATTAAACTAATTAATCAACTACTGTGAACACAAAACTTGAGTAGGCCATTGGAAGGCACCAAATCAGACATCTGTGAAAAAAGTGAAGTCTGGATAGTTACAAGAAAAACTAGAAAAGCTGCATCTGTATTTCTCACCTGCAGAAGCTTTCTTACAGAAAGCACTTCACTGGTAGTAGCAACTGTGATATAAAATCCCGCAGAAGTAAGACATATGTTTTTCATGTGACCTTATTTATGCAAATTCAGTCACCTTTAGGACTCTCATCTGGGCCTAGGAGTACCTTAATCATCTGTAGGAATTTAGAGTGAGGTAGCTAACCAATGTTAATTATTCCAAGGTAAAGGTCAATCACCTTTAGTAGTGATGACAAAGATCATAGTTCGACCAGACATTCCTGAGTAACCAGAAGATTGGTTTTATGTTTTTCTCCATTACCTTAGAACAACAACATAACTTGTATT